CCTTTAAAAGGAGTAAGAACCCCTCACAGGTAAACCTGTTTGGGGAATTACTAAAAGATGCATGTTTAGCAATTTTGTGAGAACACAAAAATGCATGAAAAGTGCTTCAAAAAGTGCATCATAAAAACCTCAAAACTGTGCATCACAGCAGCCACCAGGAATGTACTGCACAAGTAAAAGAAACATGCCCCAGTAGGCCAGGAATGTATGTGAACCATTCTCTGTCGCTCATTCTTTCCTGTCTTGAGCTTCTTGCTTGTCTCCCACTCCTGTTCAAGCCACTCTGGAAGCGCTCCAGAGGCCAGCGACTTTGTGAATTTTGCATTCTTGCTGCGGTCTTTCTTCTGGTCTGTCTCCTTGTTTGGCATGCTGAAGTTGGTGTTGTGTCGACCACCTCATCGCATGTAGCCACCTCTTCTTCTGCACCCTCTGTCTTCTCCTCTGTGTTCTCTTCTGTCTTCTCTTTTGTCTTCTCCAAGCCCTCTGACCATTTTTTCTTCCTGTTCTTTCTTTGTCTTCTCAGGCTTCTCTGTCTTGTTGTGTTTCTCCTCCTTTGGTGACGACTTGGCTTCTTCAAGACCTTCATAACCTTTGTTGCAGGTTTCTTCACCACAGCCTTGCCCTTGGGCAGCAGGCTTCTTCTTGGGTTGCATTGACTCAGGCTCACTCTGGCGAGGACTCTGGTGAGGACTCAGTTGTGCATGAGCCACTTCGACTTCACCACCATAGTCTCTAGTATCTCAAGAAGATCTATGGTAATCTTGACTACTTCCTTCTCTCATGAACCCAAAGACATGAAGAAGCTCTGAAAACATAACAACCCAAGTACTAACCAACTCCATGTGGTCCAAGTATTCAAGAACAACCGCATCAAGTCTCAAGTACTTTGGTCATTTACACAATTAAGACCTCTCCAAGTAACTTGCCTCAAGATGCAAAAGCATCCCCAAGAGATCAGGTCCTTCTGAATTATACATTTCACACAGTTCAGACCTCTCCAAGTCTTGCCATTTCGCATCCACCTCAGCGTGTGAGATCCATCACAATATACCCCAAATCCATGCTCTCTCACAGGGCGGGCGATGGCCCCACGGTGGGGTACCAATCCTGTGTTTGCGAACTGATCCCTGCATTTGCATAGGGTGATTTTCCATTTTCCCAATCCCAAAGACTCCATGCATGCCATATATGCCTACAGTAACTTACAGTAGCCCCTCAAGCCATCCGTAGGCAAATATGGCATACATGGAGTGTCTGGGTATGGATGAATTCCCTCTTCAGGAATATTCAGTTTTTGTCATTGTTCCCGGTTGCTAATGCAAGGGTCGAAGCCGGCCGAAGCCTCGAACCAGGCCAGACACGCCGAACTCCTCGGACGTCTCGGTGCCGATCTCAGGCACGATCGGAGGTACAAAATGGATGGGTGATGTCCCTTCACTTCTGTTGGGGTCCTGCGCCTCCTCCAATCCCCATAAAACCGATCAGATTGGACCACGGATTTTTCCGGTCGTGTTGGACCGGGGCGGCGCGGTCCCAACAAGGAGCGAGCTATCTCCGCTGGGGGACATCTTGGGAGAAACTATAAGGATGTGGTCTGTCATATACCACCACCCCTTGTTCAATCAACAATTGCAACGCTGGGGTTCCTGGGTCAGAGGAATTGTAGGTTTTGGTTGTGCTATTTTTTGACTTAGAGCGAGACCAAAACAAGAATTATAGGCTCAGGGCTAGGGATCCGGAATGTGTTCCCATCATGTTTTGTGCTCAACAGAGCAGGGCAGGGTGTGAACCATCAGATGTGAAGCGCAATCTTTTGGGCGACGCGGAACGAACATTGGTCTATGTGATCCAGCTTGGCCCTCTTGACCGAAGCAGCCTTGCTGGTCAAAAACCCCCAACAATGTGTGTGTCTCCACCTCTGTAACTAAGAGTTTCTGGTTTTCTCAACTTTTAAGTCGCAGGGGGCGTGACGGTCGATTTCCTAGTCACGCCAACGAAGCTAGGGAAATCGACTGGATGGAAGTTTGGACGCAAACTTCTGTACCTGCGCGGATGAAAACTTTTGCACACGCTGTGACTCCACTTTTCCTTTTGTTGTTTCCATGGTGGTTGTTCGCATGATATCCCCCAAAACAGGTTTTCTTAGCTTTGGTAAAATGCTAGTGCGTTTGTTAAACAGTTCTGTTCTTCGGACCCTTGCACCTTACGGTTCTTGCAGTAAAGGGCTAATGCAGTAACTAGTTTCCGCAGTCAAGTGTGAAACCACTTTGTTCAAACACCTACAAATGCTTGGACTCTTCGCCTTTCTGTTCCACCACCTTTCTTTGACTTGGGAACTGAGTTAACAGCAAACCAATGTCAGAGTGTGCATGGGTGTGTGTATATATTTTGTGTTTATACATGGTTTTGTCATTTCTAACATTTCATGAAAGGCTGGAGGAACATACTTTGAAGGGTATGAACATGGCTTTAAACCTTGGCTGACGTCATGACCAAACCCAGACCCATGGGACTGGCCCATTGAAGGATCACTTGGTGTGGTTGATGGAGTTGTCCGTCCCGTTCGGCATCTTCCAATCCCATCGTGTCGGCCCAGACAGTTTTGACTGGCCCATTCGTCATTTCAGTGGTGGATGACCGGGTTTTTGTTTCAAGGTATTGTTTTTTTATCTTGTTTTCATTGGTAGATCCCTTTTGGTGAAGATTCCTGCGTTCAAGGTTCCAAAAAAATGGGTGCCAGGTGGATTTTACAATTCATCAAGTCTCGGGTTTTTACCGGGTCGTTGAAGTCTCTGTCACCACCCGAAGTGACCCCAACGTGGGCGGACGTCTCCTTCCAGTGCTCGGACTCTTCGGGTGCTGAGAAAATCCGATTTCATTCACTCGCCACACTGGCCCCACGCACCGGAGGTGCCAGTGCTCCTCGCAGGCCGCACCCAGTGCCAGTGGCTGGGGTGTTTTTTTAAAATACTGTTGGTCGTTGACACGAGCTGGGATGGGACTGGAAGAGTATTTCTTCCGGTTCGGTTGGAGCGGTTTTTGGTTTCAAAATGTATATACATGATATACATCTGTATGGATGGATTTGTATGGCATATGTTCCTGTCCCATGGAGTGGAAAACGAGACCTACCATGGATGATGGGTTCATGGTTTTATGATTGATATGATGTCAGCAGCTCTTCCATGTTATTCCAGTCTCCATGGAGTGTTTTTGGTTGATACTTTTCCACGCAACGGGCCGAGGAGAGTTCACGATGTGCAAGAAGGGAAGAGGTGAAGGAAAGAACTGACCTGTTTGTGAACGAATGACTGCCTCCAAGACGCGTTGAATTCCCTCTAGCAGTTGGCATCGGGGATGATATTGCCCTTTGATCCGTGTTCAAGAAGGGTTCGAGAACCAGATGTTCACGCAGGTGACAACCAACATTGCACACCCCACAGGTGTGTCTCTTTGAAGCAACAGGATGTTTCTAGACTAGCTAGAAGGTTGCGTTAGTGCCTATGTAATTTTTTTCCTCTAAGTAGATACCTGGAAAGCCAGTGCACAATGCTTTGCGATACCCAAATGGGCAGATGAATCAAATTTCACCATGTTGGCTCCTGTTTCAGGAGCCTGCCATCCACCTCAAGGTGATGTGGTAATGTGTCATAGAGTCATAGAGTATCTATTGTTCCCAATTGAGTCAATGGAGGCCCTTCCAAACCATCATCCCCACTGGACACTGGACAGTGCAAAGTCCAGGTCCTTCTCCTGCCAAGACACTCCATGGTCAGGATGAGTTCCGGACAGTCGGGCCGCATGTGTCCCCTGGCGGGAAGGATGGAGATGCACGGCCTGAGTAAGAGTAAAAGCCCAACTGTAACTGTAACCAGGGTATTGCAGACACTCCATGTATGGAATAATATTATGGAATATACCTGGATCTTCGAAACGGCACAAATAATTGCCTTTTCAGGAAGAAATGCCGTTACGGAGTCTTTTTCCAAAGACGGCGTTTTTTTGTGACGAGGCGCACGCCGGCAGAAAGCAAAAAGAAACGGCGTCTTTAAGCGTCCAAACGGCGTCTTTGGGCGTCCAAACGGCGTCTTTCCCCGTCCATGGATTTTGTACAACCCATAAAACGGCTTTTTTTTTTGATTACGGCGTCTTTTCACTAAAACATGCATCCGGCAAAAATTTGTGCCGTTTGAAGATCCAGGTATACTTATATATATATATATATTGAAGCCACCCCAATGTATGTCATACACGGAGTGTTTGGCTATGGGATACTACACTGACTGGTTTGCTTCGGGATGAGCAGCCTGGCGATCTGTTCTGGCAGAAGAGCCGTCCGGCGTTCGTCCCTTGGGCTGGGAAGTTCTCAGAGCTCTTCTTTCGTTTGGAGATGTTCCAACGCATCGTTGTTACAACAGCAAAAACAAATTTGCAGAAGCGGGTAGGCTTGTTTTCAGGGTCAGTCCATCAATCAGAGTGGCACCAAAAACAGGTGCAACCTGTGCAACGTCACGCCGTCGATGAGCGGAATGAGACGAAGACAAAGAAGACGTTGCGACGTTGAGATTTGGGCATCATGGCGCCAGTAGAAGTGCGAACTTTCGGTGGATGGCGTGGCATCTCTGAGATGTTGGAGTCGATTCGGCATGGCCCACTTGGAGACTCTGAAGGTTGAGGATTGGCCTTTAGGTGTGTTTAAATGGATTACAGCCAACCAAATGGAGAAATCGTGGAGCCGATTTGTTCTTACTAGGGTGCCTCATGTTTTTTTTGGTAACATGTGGTGGGAAGGCGGAAAGGATTATTCCGAGAAGATCCAAGAAGTCAACCAAGATGAGGATGACGGCCACTTCTGAGTGCAGAACCCAAGCTGGATCATCAGTGAGAGAAGTCAGGGACAAAGGCTAATGTTGCCTTCCCAGAACCCTTTGCCAAGGGGAGGTGTGGAGAAGTAATTAAGTAGACTCCCTGGAAAACCAACTGTGTAGAAATTTGTAGAGGAAAGTGGTCGTGCAAGGGACCATGTTCAACTTCCATGACTTCCGATTCCAGTGTGTGTACTTTTTCGGAGACTGAGACCGACGACTGCCAGAGCTGCGGAAATCTCTTGGATTCAGCGAGCATGGTGAGCCCCCCATCGGTCCATGAAGGGAAGAGTGGGCCTCGCTCCATGGACAGCAAGCGCGAAAGAAACAGCGATGCGTGGAGTCTCGCCTACGTTTTTATCACGAACCTCTCGGACAGTCGACACGAAGGGCTCAGCACAGCAGAGCCGCCTCGCTCCCTCGCCTAGGTTTTTTAGCATCATTACCTTATGCTGGCGCCTTTGTATCCACAGCAGCTGTATCCACCCCCCGGCGAACGGGAGATGTTCTCAGCCTGCGGGGGAACCGTGCGTGCCTCAACGCGCGTGTGTGACGCATGCGCATCCCGACAAATTCGCCTAGCGCCTCAACGCGCTTGACGCATGTGATGCATGTGTTCGGAACTGGCCAAATTGAAGCACCCCATGTGGCATTCCAAATTCGATGGAAACACCTGGCTGCATGGGTGACGTTCATGTGAGGGCGGACCGATAAAAAACGGCACCGTCTGCATGACTCGGACCCACGCGGTCAAGCAGGTTGTTGGAAGGATTCCTCAAGACACATTTCCCAGAGCATCTGGGTATATGGACTAGTAGGCCAACGCTGGGGTGGGTGAAAAGGCGTCAATGCAGACCTATGGGGACCAATACTGGGAGACCTCCCAGTTCGACCCGCTGGAAGAAGGGAAATAGACCAAAACCCATTGGTGGAGGATCTCCCTATTGAACTACACGCCCATACATTCCCATCTCCCATTGATTGCCATGGATGGTTTGAAATTTAATATTCCTTTTCCAGTCTTTTTTCGACCGAAGTCCTCAAGTGAGTCTCAGCACTCGGGAGAGTCTGAGGCCGAGTGAAGGAGGTGCAACGCGCGACCCTGGAGCGAAAGGAGGAAGTGAAGGCGCGGGTCGTCGGCTGCGGGTCGTCAGAGGTCGTCGGTGGTGATCAAAGCACCAGGAGTTTCATGGAGTTTCAGGTGATTGGACTGGGTGCACATGATCCTGACAGGATCCAGACATGAAACTATGATTTTTGAAACTCGGGGATTTTGATTGTTTCATGGGAGACCTACACGAAGGTAGTCTACCGACCTTCGAACTGTGCAACATGTCGTATTTGTTTGTTTTTTTTACACTGATGAAATGGCCAGAATGTTGCACAGTTGGAAGATTGATCTATATGCTGATGTTGTGCAATCATCCTGCCAGGATCCTATTCTGTAGCCGCTCGTGGAATTGACTCCTCGGAGGATCGGTGGGTCGAACGGATGTTGCTCGGTCTATCGGGACTGGAAGAGAAGCACATGACCCATGTACCTCATGAAAAGGACCCTATCATGTTTATAACATCCAACTACAAAATGTCCAGTCTCATGGATGGTTTGGATTTGCACGATCTTCACTTTCCTCATGTTGCCGCCTTGTGTCGCCAGGATTTGCATGAGAAGGAGGGAGCCAGGAGCATTCGGGGAGCCTTTGGATGGGTGTCCATGGAGGGATTTTCAGTCCGTGAAGTGAAAAAAACTCCCCGAGAGCAGACCAATTGGATCTGGAAGGGAAGATCCCTATAGACTTCTCAGGATCTGGATTTTTTGCCAGCCTTTGTTTTCAACCTTTGCTCAACCAGGCCGATGGTGACATATTCTGACGCACCCACTGGCCGTGACGGTGAGAAGTCCCAGGTTCCACTGGACCCGTGTCTCCGCCGCCCGCGTTAAGTCTGTCTCCGGTGAATCCGTGGATCTCAAGGGGTTGGAGCGAACCATCCCCGAGCACCGGGGGAGGAGCGTCCCGGTGTGTGGGCGCCAGGCGCGGGGATGTCCCCGGGCGCGGGGCGCGGGGTGCTCGCGAGGTCCGTGACGGTGGTAGTAATTCCATGGTGTGGACGGTGTGACCATAACAATGGCATCAAGTCTTCTCCCTTTCTCCAGTGCATGTTGGCGCGTTTGTTCTATTCCATGTTGGGGTGCTGAACTTGGAGGAGAAATATACTAGCAGAGCATGTCGGGGTGCCCCTGTCACATGCACTCACTAGAAGAGTCCGGTGTGTGTTTGTTTGGAGTTTCGCATTCAATTTGGACGTCTTCAGAACATGTGGTGTGTTTGTTATGTGTTCTTTCATTTGGTTTGAACACATGGGGTGGAGTGGCCTTTTGAGGTTTTGATGTGCGCATCAGATCGCATCAGGTAGATTCATCAAAGGTTGAGGCAAGTGGAGCTGGGAATGACCTAGCAAGGAGATGCTTGACACTGGTATAGAACTGTGTAAGTAACTTCATAGATGTGTTCTAATCTGGGTTTTCCCCATCATCTGGGAAAACTGCCCAAAGGCCCAAACGTATGACGGCCTTTTCAATGGGTTACCGGTTTTGCCTGTCACGTTTTGTTTCAAGCTTTACTCCATGGGAGTGGCATACAATACACCTAAGCCAATAGGCATGACCTCATATCTTGGATCCGTCTTATTACCTGTCACAGTCGGTAAACAAGCAAATCTCTATTTTATTAGGGAAAGGCCTGCAACCTAACCAGCATCATCCACTGAACCCTGGTAGGATAGACCCAACCGGACCCAACCCATTGTCCCTTGTCTCCAGGCCGCTGTGCTGGTGGCACGCCCTGTGGAGGTGCGAAGCCGGTTCCAAACGCACCTGATTGGTCTGTTTTTTCCACAGAACTCTGGAGGACCCAGCAGACCACCAAACCATGGGACCATGGTGGTCTGGTTGGTTTTCCCTGTTTGGTCTGGTGGTCTGGGAACATCAATTGCTGGTTTTGCTCGCCGCTCTCCGCCCCTGTGCACCGGCCGATTCGCTCGCCAGGCCGTGCCCAACGCGCGGGGTGCGACGGGAAAGTCCGAGCGACGAGGACCGAGCGGGCGGGTGAGCGAGCGGGTGCCGCCGAGCTCGGCGAGTGAAAGTGAGAAGTGACCGGAGCATGGCCTGACCTTGGGTGTCACTGCACCTGGATGAAGTGACTAAAATCTTCGGGAGGAGTCGAAAGCGAGGTTCGGAAGAGCATGAATTTACCGTACTCCATGGTGTGAGAGATTGAAAGACGTCGGAGTGATTTCAGGGGAGAATGTAAGCTACAATAGCATATAGTTGGCATATTAAAGGTTTCTCCAATTTTGCTCCGGCCTTTTCGTAGAAGTTTCACCTTACAGGCGACACCACAAAACTCACACCATATCACCAGTCAAATGGCAGGCTTCGCTAGAGTGGCACCCCATGACTGTCAGTTCTTTGAGTCGGAGACCTGGGTACATCTGTGGGTTAGGAATATACAGTGGTTTCAGAGGTTCGATGGCACAGACGACCCCATGATGTCTTTTAGATGGGCGTCCAAACAAACCACTCTTGGGGATTGTGCCATCTATATACTCTAAACCCACTGCAACTATTGGTTGGTTGATCAATGGAGGGGAGGGGATACCCCCAGTGGTGTACAACCATTGTACCAAACCGACCCCTCTATTCTTCCCAAAGGACATCACTGGTGTGGAACACGAGGAAAGGGAGATGAAGACATGCAAATGCAACGCCGAGCTCTGTCAATCTCAAAGCAAAGCATGCAACAACTGAAAGGAATTCACTGAATTTATTCGGGAACCCAGCCTTTGAGGTCTTTCAAGCGGCACACCAGCTCTCCATGATGCGCATATACAAATCATTGACAAAACAGGTCAGCTCCGCTCTCCATGTTTGAGGTCCATTTTTGTACGCAGAGAAAGACTTGCAAAGGATCAAGGATCCCCCCACAAGACTGGTGGAACCCAGGCGAGCTCCAACAGATGATGAGCCACTGTTCTTCTATGTTGTGAACACCGGGAGCACCCACGCGTCCTTGCCGAGAGTTTGAGCGCCTTCTTGGCCTTAGGCAAAATCTACACTTTGGGTGAATCGAAACCGCAAGATGTGGATACTGTGAAACCTGATTTTTAGTACGCCATACCACACCCAGATCCAGCATCATTTTGGGACAAACCCGTACATATTTGCAAAGCTGTTGCAGGACTGTTTGTCCAAAAAAACCTTTGGAGCGGCTCATCACAACATGGCCCAACTCAGTCTCGGGGGTTGGCTTAACCTGTTTGCATTAGAAGCGGGAACAGCGGTTCTGGCTGCCAACAATCATAGCTGAGCATGACCCAGACACTCCATGCCATGTATGGAATAGATGCCTACATTGACCCCAGGTCAACCACCCCAATGTATGGATATATAATTAAATATATAGTTATCTTTGAATATTCCACACATGAGTGGTTGGAATCCGGATTCCAACCACCATGAATTGGTGTTGAACAGCCATGGTTTTGCCAAAGATTTTACACTATACAACACCAGGTTTGTCCCATGTGTTTTTCGGTCTTGGGAGTCTGGAGTCTGACCTGCCCCCATCCACCCGACTGGATCGACAGCGGGCACGGGTTACGGTGGACTCCAGACCTAAAGCACGGGGTAGGCCAGACATCGTCGGATCATCTTGAGTATTTTGAGGTGAAATCTAGATATGACAGTGGTATATAGTGGTACAGTAGAGCGATGTTGAAAACTCATACTATACCTTATAAGTCCAGTCTGAGTCTGACTCAGTATATAAAATATGTTTGTTTGGCATCATTGAGTAACGATCTCGTACGATGCACTCCAGTAAAATGAGGTCTTTGACCTGTATACGGGTATCAAGCTGTTCAACCCTATCTGGAGCATTTCAAGTTACGTACCCTTCGAACGGACATCCTTGTCCAGTCGAAAGAGTTTCGATGGGAGGTGGCAAGAGTCTCGATGTTGAGTTCAGTCAGCCGACATTCCTTCTGTAAACCGCTGGTCACACTTCAGGGACCCTGCGGTTCAAGCGGTTCAAGGGACCCTGCAGACTCACCGCACCGGGAGAACCACCGACCGCACCGGTCACCGACCGCACCGCGCCCGGTCACCGGGGAGGATCAGGAGTCACCGCATCGCTACGCAGCGGAGGTGGGCGTGGGGGGAGGACGGATCCCCATTGACCCCCTGGTCAACCACCTGCAACTGATAGGCCAGGCCATACCTGAATGATTTGGTAGATGGTTTGGTAGACACCGAAGGCAAGGCAAACTGGTGCGACCGGTTTGGAAATTGGTTTGGTCCTGCCCTGACATACAGGTCAGGTGGCAGTCCGCCAGACTGGGGTAAGGCCTTGATTTAGGTAAATGTTCCAGTCCCATGGAGCGTTTAAGTGTTTGGGTTGTGGAAGTTGTGAAGGCTTGTTTCTCCTCGTCATCTCAAATGTTTGGTGCTTGGGAATCCACTCATATCCACTCCCATCATGCTCATCCCATCATACTGACCTTGACTCACCCTCAGCAAAGAGAAAAAGAAACTAAGACCCCACACCATCCATGCATGGAATATATGCCTACCTTGGCCCCTGGACACCCACCCCAGATGAGTCAATCGGCCAGTCCCATGGATCAATGGCTTTAAGGGAAACATCTGCAGGAAGCCCATAGTGTTGGGGTGAAAAACCGATGAAACGCCATGGAATTCTCTGTGGATGTTCCCTTCAACCCCCATACCCTTGAATGGACGCTTCGCCGCGAGGCGGCCCCGCTCGGTCCAACCTGGCGAGAAGTCCGGGACCGGCCGCTTGGCACGACATGACATGGGTCTGTGTGTCCTTTCTCGCTGGTTTCCGTATCGACCATACACGTGCATGAGGTCTGGGTGTTTGATTCCAAAAGAAGCTCTCTTGACTCCTGTGGAATCCCAGCGGTTTCTGAAGATGGTAAACCGGAATTCCCCACCTTTCCGGATTTGTAAACTGGGATCCACCCAGACCCAAGAACCCATTGGTTTCCGTTTTGGAGAGCTTAATCAAAGGAAAATGGTCGAAACCACCGGTCAATTCTCAGGTTCCATGTTAGTGTGCCGGGCTGGGGATATACATGGATGTAAACTGTGTAACTATTCCAGTTTGGATGCTTTGACCTTGCTGAAAGGGGGGATATGGTTCCCAAACAGTGAGTTTGGAAACCACCACCACGATATTCGTCTTTCAGGATGTAGTAAGGCATGATAGTTCTTTTTGAGTCAATCAGAGGAGTTTCGCCAGATTCGTCAGTCGAAACAACATGTTGGTCTTGTGTGCCAGAGGAGTTCCTGGGAGTCGTCGTGACTTGAGGAGCTGTGGAGTGGCGCGGCACTCGCCTGTTTCAGGGCACCCAACACTCTGCTGGTGTTGTGGGTGGAAAGTTCTGCTGGTGTTGTTGTACCACCGAGGGGCACTCCTTTGAATGCCATACCGACCCATGGAATTGGGGTGGTTTCAGAAGCGAGGCTCAGCGTGCCATGCAGCGTGCAAAGCTGCATGGATTGTTTGGGAGAATGTATCATTCGCGCTTCCAATTCGGTGAGTTTCGGATGATCATTTTCCTCATGATCCCTAGGGCTCCTGGCCCATCTCCTCAGGTTCGGTGGTTAGACCCCCTGATCCCACCCCAACCATCTTGTCAGGAGGTGGGCCAGGAGCCCTGGGGGATCAACACCTCTAACACTCCCGCCCTTCCTCGCACGAACCAGGTGCTGGGACTGGAGGACCGCCACATGACGCCACCAATGGGCGTGGTCATGTGTGGCATCGTCCCCTTCCCGGAATCGCCTAATCATCCACCGAAAACCATGTTTCAATGATGGATGCAAGGAAAACAATATATATTCATCCATCATCATTGAAATGATAGCACCATGTCAACTTTCAAGACCATTCATTCAAAATATCAGCACCATGGAATCCATGTCCATGTCGTTTTACCCGAACACCCGAACCCCTTCCGCTTCAACCGCTTCAACCGCTTCCGAGGCTCGAAGTCCCACGCGGAGCCGGCCCAACAGCCCGGAGGGTCGCAGCGGAGCCACAGGCGACGACCGTGGACCGCGTCTCGCGCGACGTCGATCGGAGCGGAGAAGCGTCGGCTTCGAGGCGTTCGGTGCGGAGCCAAAGGGGTTTTTCAAGGTGAAACAGATCTGGCCTGCTCGCCTCAGTGGTTGGTTTTGGGGCGGCGAAGGAGTTCCGAAAAGAAGCTTAAAAACGTTGGGGGTGGCGGTGGAAAACTATATGTGAGGTTATAACATTTGGGGTGGATGCTGTGCACTTTCCACTGATTGCTGTGGCCAGTGTTTTGGGGTGTCATGCTAGTCCTCAGAAGAAATAGGTAGATTTGAGTGGCAGGGGGGAATGATTTCTTCTGGTGGGATGCGCATGCCTGGCACGTGCATGTCATGAACTGCAAATTTGTTGATTCTCCAATTGGAAGGAAGCCCATCAGTGGTGTATTTGGCACCGAGTCGTTGGTCCTGGTATGCACGTGTTGTTGGGAGGGCCTGAGGCAGCATGGGCAAATGGAGAAAGTACAGCTACTTGTTGAATGATGGTTGGGGTAGACTGGCTTGGATTTGCGGCTTTATAGCCACCTTTCTTACGAAAAATAGGCAAGAGTAGGAGTTACAGAGCTTGCTGAAGGATTCTCGTGAAAGACAAGATAGATGCTACCCCATTTTTGGTGCACGGACTCGCAGTTGCCTTTGGGGGGAGATCCTTTTTGGGGACAATAGACCAGAAGGGAGGAAAGGACAGCACAGAAAGGGAAAAGCAAAAAGCAGAAAAACTCAAATTAAATGGTTGCATCCAATGTAATCCAAAATAACTAGGGGTGGGGACCAGGCCTTAGAGAGCAAACGTTTGGGAGTCTAGTCATTTTCAGGTAACATTGTTTTGCTGAAAGAAAAACTTTGAGATGCAATGCCTGATAACATTTCTACTACAAATTGGGAGGTCTTAAGCCCACTACAATGTTCAAATTTAATATAGAATGGGTCCCCGGAAGACCCCCAGAGGCACAGTCATTTTATAGTAAATCAAGGGTGTCAGAAGTTGTGATATTGTTTTTGGGTTGAAATCCTTCAATCTGTATTGATGAAACATGTCAATATGTTTGATGGCTAGTCACACTTAGGCAAACCATTCTATAGTGAACATATCATGTACAAGAAACATGTTGTAGTGAGCATTTCTGAAATGTTGAAAAGCATCCCTGATGACAATTCCATTGCCAAATGGGTGGTCCTACAATTTCCCCTATAGCATCAGTGAAGAAACGCATAAATAGGAACCGCTGCGAAGCAGTTTAGCCCTGCAAAGGGTATGTTTGTTGACCACAACTTGGACTCACCAAGTTTGGGAAAAGTGTTTTTAAACTTTGGGTACACCACGTTTTGGAGGGAGGGATTGCTTTAGTATCCCTGGAACCTCATTTTGTAGCAATGTTTGTTTTAGAGGGGGTGCAGAACCTATCATTGTGTAACAAATATATTTGGAGAACCCAGAACCCACAATTCCACAACATGTTGGTCTTCCACGACCCAGCTTATATCACAAGCTGGTGATCCACTACAAAATGAAATTTGACCCTCAGTAGATTGATGTCCATCCCACTCATTTTACATGCAATCTCAATTTGTGGTGAACAAACATTATTTCTATTGCACTGAGTCACCCTCAGTGGATCTCAGTGGAATGTGTAGCCAATCATTTTGTAGCAGGTTTCTTGCATTTTGTACTGGTAGTATTTTTCTGCCGGAGGTCCTTGCATATTAGGGATTGTTGCATGTCCAAGAAAACTTAGCTATAGAAAGCCCTGCACGACCCGTCCTGGGGAATGTGATCGGGGATGAAATGAACAAATAAGGAAATGGCAGCAAAGATAAATTATAGATCTTCCCGTTATTGCCACACAGAGGTTAAACTGGCACCAGGAGATCTAGACTGGCCCAGGTGTTTGGGGCTACTCATCCTTTTTTGGGTCTTACCATCCCTCGGGTGTAACAGCTGGCCCTCCGTCCAGATGAGGCCAGCGACCGCTGCACTCGCCAGGCATTAAGAGCCCTCCGCGCACACGGCGTAAAGAACAAGAGCTCCTAGAGCAGAAGGCTGGCAGTCTTGATTTGGGTGCGAATTTCAATAAAGAGACCTCCCAAAGACCTCATGGAAGAATGGAACTGGGCCCAAACCCATTGGTTGGGGATTGGTTGGGGGTCTCCCTATTGAAAACCATACCCGTTTCAGAAACCGTTTCGCATCAGGCTGCCCACGACCACTGGCCGAGAACCAGCGATTGATGGGGACGCATGTGGTTCATGTGTTGTTGATTGTGGTTCGCCGGAAAGACTGTAATAACACTGTAGTTCAGGTTTGGACGGTTCATGTATTTGTAGTATATATATATAGTGCTCAAACAAAAAACTGGAATAGTACAGTATATATAATTGATATACTTGTTGTTTTAAATATATGTAGATTACAATTATTGCTGTCGTTTTTGGTGTATATATATATATGTATATATGTGGATTACAATTATTGCTGTCGTGTTTGGTAATTGTTTAGTATAATATAGTATTATTGTTATTGCCACACCACTTGAGCCGGGTTCAAAAACCGGCGGCAATGAATTTGAACTTGAACTTTAGTTTTTCGGTGAAGGTATCGTGTCAAAGCTTGCTTGGGGCCACACAGGGGCAAGCTTTTCACAAGGTTCCGGGGAGGCCTTTAGTTTACAAGGTTGCATAAACTGAATTTGTATATAGGTTGATCATATTGGGTGCATTTATATAATAAAGCTGCCTGGACAACCATTCCCAAATGCTATAAGGGAGCAAATATGGCCTACACTCACGACAAATAACCACATTGCAGGCCAAAACATTGGAAACCTTGTACAGTGGTTTTAGAGTAGATGGCACGCTCCCCAATGTCGGTGGTTTAGTAGTGGGCCCCCATCTGTCTAACACATCAGGGGTGTCAGTGGGGTGCCATCGGGATTGCGTGGTGTATCCAGACTTTCTCAACTACATACCCAGGACTCAGGACCCATGCCCTCAACAAAACCCACCAAAAAAAATCCATCCGGGTCGCATGGATGCACCGTCAACTCCATGTCCTCAACTCGACGCCAACTCGTCCACGTTCTCCGGCGCTCCCTGCGCCAGGCGCTGCTGGAGCGTCGCATCGGCGAGGCGCAACGCTCCCAGGCGCCGCCACGCACCGAGACCGGAGCGTGGACCGGAGACGGATCCGGGTGGGACGAGTTCGACTCGTACGCCGGAAGGAAGAGACCAGTGGAATCCATCAGCGGAAGACGGACGCCTTGAAAGACGGACGATCGTTTTGGTTGGTTGGTTTTCGTGTTTGTTGTTTCCCCAGGGCAGAGACTTGCAAGGAGTGAAGATCCAGAGCACTGATTGTAAGACGAGTCAAACACTGAGGGATGGTGGGCCGTGGGTATGAAGGAAAACGGAACCAACAAGTCTTCGAACATGTTTCTGCCTTTTCCTCAGAAGAACATCTAATAAGAAGTGGCTCATGCGTTCGATGTTGCATCAGCGCATGTCTTTCGGAACAGCCCGGGGCACGTCTTTGGGCATGTTTTTGTGCAGGTCCTCTTGCAGCGGATGCTCGATGAGGCGGGAGTGAGTCACGTCGCTGTCCTTCGTTTTCTGCCCAAGATGTGATGTGCCAGCTGTGGAAGGATGTGCCAGCTGTGGAAGGATGTGCCAGCTGTGGAAGGATCCAGAAGTCCCAGAAAGACCAGACAGGACCCACGCTCTGGGTGGAACTGGAAGGTGTCCCAAGTCTGTCCCTCTTCCAGGTGCCGTCGGGTGTGGCTGAAGAACATCACACAACCTGCCCAGCCATCATGATCCACGGATATACCTGGTAATGGGATATATACCCAAGGAATAGAATACATATATATATATAGAATATCATATAGAGTGTTTATAATGATTGATCACCCCCTAATATGAAGAGTTTTTACAATCCACATGGGTAACGTAAGTTGTTTTCATCAAGAGTCTACACTACTGACAACGACCCTGGCCTTTTCTTGGTCGCCGCTGCAGCATCTGTGTCGAAGTTTCCAGTTCAGCTTCGAACGCCATGACGTTGCTCGAGGAGCTTCTGCTACGAGCGGAATCGGAGGGACTTCCACGGCTCTTCGATTCTCTCACACGGGAGCGGCGTAACGAGCTCATTCTGCAGGTTCTGGATGCTTTGCAAGGGGAGGATGGTGCCAGGATCGCGCAGACGCACAGGTATACCGTCGCTGGGTGTGTTGGTGTTCGTGGGGGCTGGGGAAGTTCTTGTTTCTTTTGCTTGACCCGGGCTAGACAGCGAGAGCATGACCTGGCGGTTTCAATCGAAAGCTGAGGTTGGAATCACTGCATGTGCAAGGGCCAAACTGTGGCAAGACGCCCTGAATTTATTTGCATGCATGCCTGCGGCCAGAGTTGAACAGGATGCTGTCAGCTTGTCGGCAGCAGTGAGCTCCTGTGAGAAGAGTAGTCAATGGCAACAGGCGCCGCTGTGCTGGGAGAACGTTTTGTTGTTTCTTGTGGCGGGTCGTAGGAGTCCCGTTAGGAGAACATAAAACAATCACCATGGACTCGAGTGGACCTCAAATTCTAAGACCAATGAACTTTGATTGGATCAAATTCTCAGGGATTTGGTTCGTTTGCAGTTGATGTCTTCTCTCGGTTCAGAACCCAACCCTGAGAGGCTCTCCACTTGTTAGCCGAAATGCCACTGTCCAGCGTGGACTTGACCGTTGCATCGTTGAATGGAGCCATCAGTTCGTGCGCGAAGGGCTTTCAATGGCAGCAGGCGTTGGTGTTGTTTCACACCATGCCCAAGGTCCAGATCCAACAAGATGTCATCAGTTGGAACGCTGCCCTGAGCTCCTGCGAGAAATGCGGCCAATGGCAGATGGCACTCAGTTTGTTTCAAGCAATGCGCCGTGCTCAAATCCGCTTAGACATCATCAGCTTCAGTGCGAGCATCAGTTCCTGCGAGAAAGGTCGTCGATGGCAAGAGACCTTGAGTCTCTTCGAGACGATGTCAAGTGATTCACTTCAGCCAGATGTCATCAGCGTCAATGCCGGAATTAGCTCGTGTGAGAAGGCCAAGCGCTGGCAACAGGCCTTCGGCCTTTTAGTATTTGCACAAAGGCTTCGGCTATGGTTGAACTTGGTGAGCTACAATGCTGCCATCAGTGCATGTGAGAAGTCGAACCGATGGGAGCAGGCCTTCTCGTGGCTAGCTCTTGTAGTGCTTTTTTAAGTAGTGGTTTTGAGAAGGGGCTTTGGGATGTCTTGGGATTTCTCTTTCACAGCAGCTTTCCGCGTTAGCCCAATGTCATGAAGGGAAGAGGTAGTCAGTTCATGAGCTTTGAGTATCAACGAAACCGTTCTTCCAACTGTGCTCATGAACGACTCTTCTTTCAGGCGTTGGGTTTCATGAAGAACGCACACCCAGGTTATTTCTGTCGATGCCCTCCAAGCAGATTTGCTGGGATACTTGGACCGTTTAGAAGTTGCTGTCAACACCATATTAGCATGTAATCACTTACTTGACCGTTTTGACCCCCAAGAAAGACACAGCGCAGTTGGTAAACTTTGGATACAGTATACACATATGCATATGCATGATAAAGTGCAAAACAACATCCCAGGCACTAGCTGTGTATGCAACATAATACATGGAATGCTATATGTTGTTGGTATATACATGCTATATATATATATGTGATTTGGTTTTATGTATAGCTTAAACATGTGTTTTAGCTACATTGGAATTGACTCCCTTGAGCCGGGGGTCCATGTCCCCAGTCCGACAGCTCCGGGGACCCAGACGTACCCAGACCATCCATGACTGGCCTCGGAGTCGCAACTACAACCAGGAGTCACAAAGGGATGCCCATGATCCACTCACTTAGAGACTCAATACAACCCCATGTGTGTGTGATATCCAC